CATTACAAATTTGGTTTAGCACAAAGCCAAGTCAAGCAGAGTCCGGGTCTTTTTAATATTTATGTGGAAGAATTTTCACGATAATATTTTCTTTTCAGTTTTGGTGAAGATTGCAACACCTGCAAGTAGAGGTGTCAAATGGGACGACCCGACCCAACACAACACAAGCCCAACCTGTTTAAATGAGGTACGACACGGCGCGAGCACGAATATTAATGGGCCGTGCTCGGCACGACACGTAAACTTGGGCCGAGCAGGGATCAAAAAATGAGGTCCAATGGACCGGGCGGGCCCATGGCCCGACAAACATATATTTGATGTCTTTCATTTTAGGGAAATTACTTGGGTCCTTAATTATTTAAACATACCAACTACAAATTAATTAAACAACATTGGACTTAATATCTAATCAGTACATATGACATATAGGCTTCTCTTATTGTAACATCACACATCGACCAACGGAGAGGGGGTGCTATGCCTTATATGTACATCCTCATCTCCATCTAGCACGAGGCCTTTTGGGAGCTCACTGGCTTCGGAGTCATGGGAACTCCGAAGTTAAGCGAGTTGAGGTTAGAGCAATCTCAAGATGGGTGACCCACTGAGAAGTTTCTTTTGAGTTCCCAAAAACAAAACCGTAAGGGCGAAGAGGGGGGCCCAAAGTGGACAATATCGTGTTATGGCGGAGCCGATCCCGGGATGTGACAATTTGGTATCAAAGCCACTCTGCCATGTGGTGCAAGTGTGCCGACGAGGACGTCGGGCCCCTTATGGGGGTGGATTGTAACATCCCACATCGACCAATGGAGAGAGGGTGATGTGCCTTATATGTACATACTCACTTCCATCTAGCACGAGGTCTTTTGGGAGCTCACTGGCTTCGAAGTCATGGGAACTTCGAAGTTAAGTGAGTTGGGGCTAGAGCAATCCCAGGATAGGTAACCCACTAGGAAGTTGCTCGTGAGTTTCCAGAAACAAAACTGTGAGGGCAGAGAAGGGGGCCCAAAACAGATAATATCATGCTACGGCGAAGCCGATCTCGAGATGTGATACTTATAATCAAAGCAAGACATTTCTTCACATATAAAATAATAAGTTGTTTAAAAATGAAAAGTTGAAGTGGATTTTGTGGAGTTGGACACTTTTTGCCTTCTGTCCTTTCATATTGTTTGGATGTTGATTGATTAATGTTTTCAAATAGTTCATCATTTCTTGCATCTAATTATATTTTAAAAGTTTATAATTTGAATTATCTAGTGAAAAAAATAATCAAGTGAAAAAAATTCAAATTAAATGAGTTGGTTCTTGGGCCTGAGTATGGCATGAGCACGAGTACAGGCACGGTTTGGCCCATTTCAATGTGGACATGGGCTTTAGGCTGGGTCGGGATCAATGATTTTACTAAATGGGCTGGCACGGCCGATAAATTAAATAGGCCGGCCCGGCTCGGCACGAAAACGTTAAAAGCACAAGTTTAAATGGGACGGGCCGACCTGTTTGACAACTCTACCTGCAAGTGAGACAGATGGTGAAGGAATTAGAGCTGCTCTGATGCCACGGTTACATCATGTCTACTTTGCTTAAAGCTCACAACAAACTTGGTTACATTGGGAATACCATTGTTTTGTTATACTCGGTCAATGATATTATGTCATGTGGAAGTGTTATCACTAAAGACGGACCTACGTGTAGGCTGGAGCCACAAGAAGATTTGTAAAGTACTGAACGGGGTGTAAATTATTCATGCTCTAATAAATATTAAATATTAGCCCATATGCATGCCTTGCTTTTTTATTTTATTTTATTTTATAAATTTAAAAAATTTAAAAATATTAGCACATTCATTCAGTATATCTCTAATCTAATAAACTAATAATAGTCCAATCTAAGTAAAGTAAATAATAGCCCACTCCTAAAGTATATAAGAAATAATACATAAATCCAAGCCTATAAAATTTGATTAGAAGCAAAACTCACACTAAGGCTCTATCAACTTGAGCTATTCTAATCGTACGGATATTGGGTTACACCCACAGAGAGCAGACATCATAATTTTTTTTTTCTAGCCAACCACAGAGATCAGATATTGCTTTGCCAACTCGAACTTTTTGAGTTTTTTTTTTTGGGTCTGATCTTGATATCTTTCAAATTGTCTACTCTTTCTAAACTATTGTTGAAGCCCAAAATTTCACGAGAAGCTCAAGGATATTTAAAACCCAATGTAACATATAATATTGGTCATGCATTAATCCAAGCTGTATTTTGGGAATTAATTCATTAAATAAATATAAAAATTGTGTATATGCCATGCCAAGCAAATAATATATTTTCCTATGCTAAACCACCCGACAAGCTTAAGTGTGCCCAAGCCACATACATGCCCAGGGCTTGCTAAGTGGGTTATGGTGTGGATAGTTGTAAGAGTTCATAAGGCCTGTTAAGAGTTTAGAGAGTGGAAGTTTTGGGATACTAGGGCTCTAAAAATCATGCCCACTTTCCTGGGCCCAATTACACTGATAAGCAAAGAGAGAAAAACTAGCATACCAGCAACAACGCTCACTCTTCCAGCAATTAAAACCCAACCACCATCGCCTTTGTTTCGCATTATTTAAAACCCAGCTTCCACTGTCCATCATTAAACTGCAACCACCAACGCCTCCCATTTAAACCTCAACTGCCAATGCTCATCTTCCAATAATTAAAACAGAAAGACTCCGCATGTGATTCCTTTCCCATGTTTGGTAATGCCGGGAAAGTAACCCGGAAATATCACTTTATTTCCTTTCCCATGTTTGTTTTGAGTAGGAATGGAAAACAAATTTTGTTTAGTTTCCCAATTGTACTCCTATTAAAAATATGAAAAATATATTAATTTTATTAAACTTTCCAATTTAATTATTAAACATTACACCAATGTCCTATTGATAGTCCGAATATGCAAAATGTCCTATTAAAAATAGAACGTTGCTGCTGGGAGGGTTTTGAGAAATGTGAATTTAAAAAAAACAAAAAAGAATACCCAAGGGGAAATAGAACGTTGCTGTTGTTGGATAAGCTGTAATTAAAATTATTAGTAAGGACAAATTAGTAAAAAAAAAATGCATTTAATGCTTGCCTTACTTTCCCATGGGAAGGGAAAGTAAAACCCAAGGAGGAAGGATGAAATTACTTTCCCTCCTACTTTCCCATGTCCCAGGAAACGATTTTTCATGTCTGACTTACCAAACATGAGAAAGCAATTGCTTTTCCATCCCCATGATTCATTTCTCATGAACCAAACGGGGCCAATAATTTCATTATAAAACATTATATGTTGTCATGCAAAATATGCAATCAGGTCAAAAAGTTTATCAAGTGGTGCTTTTGATAGTATCCATCATCACGTGAAGTGATAATTACACCAAACTGTACTGGGGCCAACGAGCGATCGGTCTGCCCATGGCGCTCCTCGATCTCCTGTGGCCAAACCACTTGTCCCAATAGACTCGGGGACGTTTGAAAAGCACAACGACAAATTGTTTTGACGGGACCAGCTTGACCGGCTGGTTCTCGGTTGAGATATAAAAACAAGAAGGAAGGTCACCCCATGTGAAAGGGAGAAGCAACGGCTGCAATTACAAAGCAAGCCATCAATAAAAAAGGCAAAAAGCAAAAAGAAGCATCCAATGCAAATATAAAAAATATAAAAAAACCATGCGAATGTCAGACTTCATAACAGCAAAATAAATAAATAACATGCCAAGCAAAATTATTTCTCTCTCATCTGACAACTTTCAAATGCCTTGTAAAAAATGTAAAAAATGTGATATCATATGACAAAATATGCTCCAAAATATAAAAGAATTCATCACAAGCATCTGTTGAGCATAAATTTTTGTCCTCAAGTTAACCAAAATAGAAAAGAATTCTTCTAAGTTACCCATAAAACTCACTCCCAAGGTGTATGTATAACCCCCCAGAAATTCTGCTCCTTCACCACACACTTCCATCAATCTCCTTTTACGGGTAACTTTGATCAATTATCTTCTCCCACTAAAACATAATAAATAAAAAAGGAAAATTAGTCAATAAGTTCAACACCATGGTAAAGTCCTTCATATGACTCATATTAAAAACTTAACAATAGCAACCCCTCTTTTTAGTCCATCAAAGGGCATGTATAAATTGATATATTTTCCGTCACGATGAGCATAACCATTTTACTAACCACTACTAAATGGAAAACAAGAAAGAATGAAAGAGAACCAAGAAGAGGAAATGCGATGCAAGACCTGCATTAGCATATGTAAAGTAAGTTTCACCAAATTTCACCAAGTTTCACCAACTAACTTTTACCTTTGGTGTAGCTTCCTAATGAAATGAAAGACATACATGTTTACCTTTCAGCATATGATACACTAATTTTTATTTTTATTTATCTAGTTTCTCGAACTTCAAATATGCATCGATTTCTTTATAATATGAATTTCTTATCTGAATTTTTATATTTTTGTTTTTACTTTGTTGATGAAGAAAATGAAACATGACTGCTCGGAAAATATATAATCACAAAAAGCTTTCATACAGCCTAACCTTTTGAAATCTGTTTAAGAGCCGTAAATTCACAAAGAGATCAACGGCATTCGAGTCTGGTCCACTTGAGGACCGTTGAATGGTCGTTCTTGTCTTGTCATCCTCCAGTCATCAACAGTCCAAACCAGAGTATTATTCCTTAGGCCATGTGCGTACACCAACCCACCTACCCAATTTGAATTAATTAATGGTAATGGCCCATCCCCCATGTGAGGGCAAAGAAGAGTTTTAAAAACTTGTCACCCCAGAAAGAGACATTTTTAAAAATTAATTACCACTCGAACACTGACAAGACAGCCAACCAACGGCACTTGTATCATTACAATCACAAAAGCTTTCATACTGCCTTACCTGTATTTCCAAGTTGTGTTAGCTGAGAAAAGAATTGCTTCATCCAATTCCCTTGCAAAGAAAAGAAGAGAAAAATGGCTGGAGCTTTGATCGGAGAGGCCTTTATTTCTGCTTCCATTCAGGTGATTTGTGACAGAATTGCCTCACCTGAGTTCATCGACTTATTTCGGCACAAGAAACTCGATCAACCTCTCCTCATGAAACTGAAGAGGACCCTGTTGACCTTGAACGCAGTGCTCGATGATGCAGAGGAGAAGCAAATTGAGAAACCAGCTGTGAGAGAGTGGCTTGACGACCTCAAACATGCAGTCTTTGATGCGGAGGACTTGCTGGATGAGATCAACTATGAAGCTCTGGACTCTGAGGTATGGAACAGAGTACTAAATAGCAGCATTTGGGATTTACCTTATGAGAAAAGTGACATTCTTCCTGCTCTAGGATTGAGTTATCGTTATCTTCCAGCTAAGTTAAAGCGATGCTTTATTTATTGTTCAATTTTTCCAAAAGGCTGTGAATTCAAGGTAGAAGAAGTTGTTTTTCTTTGGATGGCAGAAGGTTTAATTCCCCAAGTGGAGAATGGGGACAACATGGAAGAAGTGGCTAAGGAATATTTTGATGAACTGTTATCTCGATCATTGTTTCAAACATCGGAGAAATCACGTTTTATTATGCATGATCTCATAAATGACTTGGCTGTGTTCATGTCTAAAGGATTTTGTGCAAGGTTGGAAGGTGGTAGGGAATCACATGAAGTAGAAAGAGTTCGCCATTTGTCATATGCTAGGGAAGATTTTGATGGTGCTCTGAAATTTGAGCCATTTAAGGGGCGTAAGTGTTTGCGTACCTTTCTATCTACCTCTTTAAATACTCATCCAACGTATTATATAGGTAAAAAGGTTGTACCAGATTTTTTTTTGTCACACAGATGTTTACGGGTGCTGTCATTGTCATCTTATAAGAATCTCACTCAGCTACCTGATTCTATTAAAAATCTTATTCACTTGCGCTATTTGGATCTCTCTGGTACTGCAATTGAAAGGTTACCTGGCGTACTTTGCAGTTTGTACAATTTGCAGACGTTACTATTGTCAAATTGTTCCTCTCTCGTTGAATTACCTGCAGACTTGAGAAAATTGATAAATTTACAGAAATTAATGCTGGGAGGTTGTGCGTCTCTTGCTAAATTGCCTGTAGACCTGTGGGAATTAAATAGTTTGCATCATCTTGATGTGAGTGGAACTAAAATTGCAGAGATGCCAATGCAAATGGGTAGACTAAAAAGTTTGAGAACGTTGACTGCTTTTGTTGTGGGGAAATCTACTGGGTCGACCATTGGGGAATTGGGGGAGCTTCCACATCTTCGAGGAAAACTTTCAATTCTAAAACTGCAAAATGTAGTTGATGCTAAGGATGCAGTGCAGGCCAATTTGAAGAATAAGCAGGATCTAAAGGAGTTAAAGTTCGAATGGGGCGATGAAGACTCGAATGATTCCGAAAAAGTGAGAGACGTACTTGACAAGCTCCAGCCTTCAATTAGTTTGGAGAAACTGACCATCCAATTCTACAGTGGAACCAAGTTCCCGAATTGGTTAGGAGACTCACGCTTCTCTAACATACAAGTCATGCGCCTTAGCGATTGTAAATATTGTTCGTCGCTACCAGTTGGGGGGCTACCTGCTCTCAAAGAGCTCTATATAGAAAGGATGAACTTTGTTAAGACAATTGGTGTTGAGTTCTACGGCAGAAATGGAGCGTCTCTAATTCAGCCATTTCAATCACTGGAGAAGCTAGAGTTTAAGGAGATGGCAGAGTGGGAGGAATGGGTACCAAGTGGAAGTGAAGGTCCAGACTTTCCTCGTCTCCAGGAGCTGATTCTATATAAGTGTCCGAAGCTAAGAGGAAGCTTGCCTTGTGATCTGCCTTGCTTGAAGATGCTTAGTGTGAATGGGTGTGGGGTTTTGCATGCTCAAAGGGCCACTGCTACTACTAGTAGTAGTACTAGTCTCAACTACAATTCTCTTGAAGTATTGATAATAGAAGATGGATGCCAAACAGGTCTGTTATCATTACTAGAGACAAAGCTCCTGTCCGAACTTGACATTCGAAATTTTAATGACATACAGTGCTTGCCCAACATCAATCGTCTTCAAAGTTTGACTCTCTTGAATTGTCCAACGCTGTCGTCGTTCCCTGAAGATGGCCTACCCACTTCGTTGACATCACTTACAATATTCAATTGTAGGAGATTAGAGATCCCTCTAGAGATGTTCGCTAAATTAACATCACTCAACTATTTGGGGATACGTAATAGCTGTGATTCAATGAGGTCCTTCCCCTTGGGCATTTTTCCCAAATTGACGACACTTGAAATCGTTTTCCTTGACAATCTGGAATCGCTTTCCTTGATTGAAGAAGGAGCGGTTCTCAGTCATCTAAATAGCCTACAGGTCTATAATTGTCCAAATCTGGTGTGTTTTCCCCAGGGAGGATTGCCCACTCCCAACCTGACTGAATTGTGTTTCTATGGATGCGAGAAGTTGAAGTCATTACCCGAACGCATTCACACCCTCACAGCCCTTGAAACATTGCAGATAACGAATCTTCCAAATCTGGAGTCAATTGCAGAAGATGGGGGTTTGCCTCCTAACCTCCGAGATTTTAGCATTGAGAATTGTGAGAGACTGAGGGCTGCATCTTCATCAGTGGGAGACTACTGTAACTGGGGTTTGCAAGCACTTGTCTCCCTCGAACAATTTACAATTGGTGGCAGAGGAAGTGATGAAATCTTGGAGACGTTGCTCAAGCAACAGCTGCTCCCTACCACTCTTCGCAGTCTCTGCATCAGGGACATTTCAACTCTGGAATCTTCTTATGGAAAGGGACTTGCACGCCTTACTTTTCTTCAAGAGCTATATATTAATGACTGTCCGAGTCTCCAATTCCTGCCAGAAGAGGGTCTGCCGCCATCTCTTTCTAATCTGAGCATCCACAATTGTTCTGCCCTGGAGAAAAGGTATCAGAATAAGACGGGACAAGATCATTGGGCCAGCATATCTCACATTCCATGCATCAAGATAAATGGTGAAGTCATCTTAAGAGAGTAAAACAAACAAGGTATGTACTTCAAAAACTGAAATTCACTGTCCAAATAATCGAAACATTTCAAGCTCAATTTCTAATTTTACTCTCAGCTTTTTGTGAATTACATTGTCACTGCTTCTTACTGGTCTCATGCTACTTTCTTATCAAAATCATTTTCCAGAAAAACACACAAAAACTCAATCTGATTTCTATTATTATTTTGCACAGTAAATTCTCTCCTTCTATTTACCCAATTTCTTTCGAAACTTATATCCTATAGTAAGTATCAAATACTGAATAATTAATACTCGGTTTGCAGGACAGCACCTTCTCTTGAAAAGCTTTTCATTTGCAAGGTTTCTGAACGTGTCATTTCCGGGCCATTGTTTATAGACTTTTGTTTTTCTACAAAAAACTATTGTCACAACGAGGGGAGACGGAAAGGTTCACCTGGAAACATTCCTACAGACAGGCATCAAATGTCCCACACTTTTAGGTACTCTTTCATAATAAAAGTGGCAGTATATTATTGTTTTCATCTTTTTGAAGATGTGAGCATGATATTTACCATTCATATTGTTCCAGTGCCCGAGGGGCACATTCATTGGTACTGCATGTATGAATAAACGCTGTGTCCTTACTAATGTATATTGTCTTAGTATCAACTGGTGGTCTTTGGTTGAGGAGAGAGATCATTCAGCAATTACAAAATTTTCTTAGAGAATTAACCTTGTTTAAGCTTTGTTCTTTTCTTTGTTATGTCTTGGTTTTTCAAAGTTATGCCTTATCCTTATCCCCCACATCACCCATATTATTTCGCAGCAACTGACAATGTTTTTAATAACTTTAATGACTTTAGAGTTGGGGGATACAAGAATTTGAAGTCATTACCGCAACGTATTCACATCCTCACTGCCCTTCAAAGTTTGCGGATACTTGGTCTTCCAAATCTTGTGTCATTTGCAGAAAAGGTTTGCCTCCCAACCTCCAATATCTTCACATTCATAATTGCTAGAGACTGAGGCCTTCAGTGGGGTTTGTCTCCCTTCAAAAATTTACAATTGGTGGCAGGGAAAGTGGCGATATCTTGGAGGCGTTGAGGAACAGCATCTGGGAACTTTCAAGTCTGAATTCTTTGGATGAAAAGGGACTCGGACACCTCACTTCTCTTCCAAGTGCTGAATATTCTCCAGTGTGACAGTTTGAAATTCCTGCAAGGAGAGGGACTCGGACACCACACTTCTCTTCAAGTGCTGCATATTCTCCAGTGTAGCAGTTTGGAATGCCTGCAAGGAGATGGACTTCGACACCTCACTTCTCTTCAACAGATACATATTTATGGCTGTCTGAGTCTCCAATTCCTGCCAGAAGACTCTTTCTTTTCTGAGATATCTCCATTTGTTTGCCTTGGAGTAAAGGTATGAAAATAAGATGGGAGAAGATTGGGCCAAGATATCTCACCTTCCTTTCGTCCAGATAAATGACGAAGTCATCATATGATATGAGTTCTCTCTCACACCAAATTTTTGCTTTTCGGCATTTCACTCTGTCTGAAAATTTGAAGTCATTGTCCAAACGCATTCACACCCTCGCAGCCCTTCAACATTTGTCAATATGCGATCTTCCAAATCTGGAGTCATTTGCAGAAGATGGGGGTTTGCCTCCCGACCTCCTATATTTTACCATTGAAAATTGCAACAGACTGAGGGCTTCAGTGGGAGAGCACTGGGATTTGCAAGGACTTGTCTCTCTTGAAGAATTTACAATTGGTGGCAGGGGAAGTGATGATATCTTGGAGATGTTGCTCAAGCAACAGTTGCTCCCTTCCACTCTTTACATTCTCCACATCAATAGACTATCAAGTCTGAAATCTTTGGACAGAAAGGGACTTAAAAACATCACTTCTCTTTCTTTTCTGAGTATCTCCAAGTGTTTTTCCCGGGAGAAAAGGTATAAGAGAAGACAGGAAAAGATTGGGCCAACATATCTCACATTCCTTGCATCAAGATAGGCCATGAAGTGACCATATGAGATGAGCTCTCTCTCTCTCTCTTTCTCTCTCTCACATTCCTTGCAGTCATCATATGGTATGTACATCAAGATAGGCCAAATTTTATTTTATTTTATTTTTCCAACAATGGGATGTTTGAAGAATACATGCATTATTTTTGTCATGTTTTGGACGTTTGTAAGATAACTTTTTCTATTTGTTGGTACTTTCTAAATATAAAACTCACTAGTAACAAAACAAATTTCTTACCAAAAGGTTTTGTTCAACTGAAAAGATTGACATAGGAAATTTATTCACTGGTATAAGGAACAGATTCATGAATGGAAAATGCGATCCAAAGCATATTGGTTACTTTTATGACTCTTTAGATTAATAGTACTTGGCATATCAGCAGGGGCTTTATGACTCTATTATTAATTGATTAATCTCTTCTTTTTTTCTACTAAAAGGAGTCGGCCTCTCAGAATAAAAAACTACATATTTCAAAAGTGTATCTCCCTGGTCCAGCTGACCTAGTAGCTTATCTATATAGTTGCAGCTAGTAAGGAGGTAAGACTGAGCTGAGTTAACCCTGCTTCATGTAATGCATTGTTGTGTAAAGCTTAAATTTTTTGGTGGAAAGAAGAGGGCTGGTTTTGGGGATCTGTGATGAATGACAACTGGGCTGTTTGGTTGGATAGGGATAGGAGGTTCTTTGTTGATTTGAAGGGTGAGGGGATGTGGATCACTTGTGGGAGAGGGTTCATTTCTTCTGCACCTCATTGGACTCTAGGGATTTTTCTTTCTTCGTCGTCTATTCAAATAGGCAAGCTGCTGTAGTTTAGATCTTCTTTATGCGATGTTTCTGTTTTGTTCATTTGGTGTTTGAGTTGTTCTGTAATTGTTTTTGTTTTGACCTGCTAAGGGTGTATACCTTGCTGGCTGTTGCTATACTCCTTTATTTTTCATGAAAGTTGGATTTCGTAATTTAAAAAAAAGAAGAAGAATTTTTGTACATGTAAAACGATACAGAAATTGGACTTTATAAGTTGAAGGCATATTACGTAACTAGAAGGAAAATATCATTTAAGAATCAGTTAACATATTTTTATTGCCTAATTCTTGATATCCGGGAGTATTGACTTCCAACATGATTGAGGTCTTATGCTAATTGGCATATTTATTGCATTTATAATATCTTATGTGCAAATGATTTTCTTTTTTGTTTTTACCGTCCCACAAATCATTCCTTCAGCTGCAAAGTTCTATTTGATGACACTTGAAATGTTGTATGCATACTTGCAGACTTGAGAAACTTTCCCATGTTTGGAGGTCAAAGCAACTTGTGTAGGCAACCATGCATGATTTCAGAGTCGAAGCTGCTTCACTGGCCTTTCTGTGCTCGCTTCTGTAAGGGTATATCAGATTAGTTTCTCAGCAAGATTTAATATGGTTCACTTTTTTGTTGCTTTCCTATTACCATCAATTTTCTTATTCCAAATTGGATTGGTAGGATCAAACCAAGCAGGTTCATACATTAAATGTATCACGTCATCAGCATTTCAGACAGAAAATGGGCCTCGAATTGTGTTCTGAGCCAATGGATTTTTCTAGAATCTAAAAGTGGAATGGAAAATTACTGAAGTGATCTACACAAGAGTAAACATTTTTTCTGTTGGATCCTGGAGGTGCCTCTTATAAGTGGCTAAGTTGCAATATGTGGTGTCATCAAATGCTCTGCAAAAAGGTAAGTCATCAAGTAACTACCCTTTTAATTATTTGATGGGTATATCATCTCAGTTCTTGTAATATGGAGTCGTCACCAACAGGTCCGTCGCATTACATTAGTCATATATGTGATTTGAATCATACACTTTGTGCTATTGAACACTCAAATGGAGATAGATTTTTTTGTCTGTGGATGCCACTGGTTAATATTGTCATATCACTGGTTATTTATTGTATTTGAACAGTCAATTGAGATAGATTGTTTTGTCTGTGTTATTTGTTGTCATGTCCTTTGCTTCATTTCTGATGGTTGCTTACTTAAATCTGCTCTTCAGCAGTTCAAGTTGAGACCGGAGATGAACAAGGATTAGGTCAGCTGTATATTTCGTGGTAAATACCTCTTTCTATACACATTTCCTACTGTCTACATAGATTAATTTATCAGCATGATTCTATAGTGCATTTAAAACCTAAACATAAAGAATAAATTCCTGTTGTCATTAATTTGTTGATGCAGGACGCGTAGGACCTAAATTTATTAGTTTCCTAATATATTTGTTAGTTTCCTATATTCTCTAGTTTTCCAAATTCTAGTAGGATTTCTACTTTTCCAGATTTCTAGATTTCTAGTTTTAAGTTTCTTATTTTATTTGGGTTAGGATTTCTGTTTAAGCAAGGGATTTTTATCCTATTATGTCTAGGTTTTAGTTTGCTATAAATACCCCCATGTAGTTCTTTAAAATTCAGATTTGAATGTTGAGTAAACCTTTTCCTAGAACTCTCTGATTTCGTCCCTTCGATCTATATTTCTTCTCCTCGATCTCCGATATTCTTCTTTGTTCTACTGTTTCTGTCCTTTATCTCGTCTTTTCGATCTCTATTTCTTCTCCTCGGTCTCTTATATTCTTCTATGTTCTATTGTTTGAGTGCTTAATCTAATACCTACGGGCTGTTCTACATCATTTTTTTATTCGAATTTGGACTTCTAGGAACAGACCCAGCATGTTCATACATGGCTTGGCTCACTTCATCATCTTTTGAGACAGAAAATCAGCCTTCAACCGTATGCTGATTCAATAGACTTTTCTATATATCTCAAGTGCAATGGAAAATTGAAGACTTACATAAAGATTCGCAAAGATTTCTGTTTGAAATTTTCTACTGGAGGCTGGAAATGCTTCTTATAAGTGGCTAAGTTGCAAAAATTTGTAGGATTGAAGGCTCTGCAGACTGCACAGAGGTAAGAAAGTCATCGTCAAGTAATTCCTAAATGGCTGCATCTTAGAAGAATGACACTGAATCTGTATAGCTAATCTTCAATCTAATGATTAGAAGTCACATGAAAAAGTGTTGTATTCTTTTGCCCTCTATTGTTGTTTATTTGGTGCTCTTTTGACTTTCAGAGGTGTTTTCAAATTTGAGAATCCAGTAAATGCATGCGTACATATATTGAAAGTATTCGACATGATTTCTTCTCGAAGAATTTTCGCAATAATATTTTCTTTTCAAATTTGCTGATGATTGCAAAACCTTCTATTTCTTTTTCTTAGCATTTAGAAGTATCTTGCTGAGCTGAGGTATGGAAACGGAAAGCACTTTGGTTAACATCCACATTGAATAGCGGTGAAAAGAAACAGGATTTCACAATCGGATGCTGAACCTGAACACCAGGTTTTGAATAACTGGTGTCTTTTTCCCACCGCATTCACACCCTCACAGCACTTCGACATTTGGAGATGACTGAACTTCCAAATTTAGTGTCATTTGCAGAAGGCTGTTGTCTCCCTTAAACACTACAATTGGTGGCGGGGGAAGTGACGATATCTTCGAGACATTGCTCAAGGAACAGCTGCTCCCTTCCGCTCTTCACACTCTTCGCATCTGGGGACTTTCAAGTCTGAAATCTTTGGACGGAAAGGGACTTGGACACCTCACTTCTCTTCGAGAGCTATATATTAGTGAGTGTGACAGTATCCAATTCACTTCTCTCCAACCGTTATGGCCTGGAGAAGCGGTATGAGAATAAGATGGGACAAGATTGGGCCAACATATCTCACATTCCTTGCCTCAACATAAATGATCGAGTCAACATATGATATGACTCATGAGAGACAAACAAAGTATTGCTTTTCAATAGTTCACTCTCAGAGACTCTGAAAGTAACTTATTTGGGGGTTTGCCGATCAAGGCCCAGCAGGTTTGGATGTTTTGGCTACTGAATGTTCTGCTATACACATGGGATTATTGAAGGCTGCTGAGTTGGGAATCTCTGATTTTTTGGTAGCATCAAACTCGCAGGAAGTTGTGGCTTTACTGAAGGGAAATGGAGAGCTATGGAGTAATCTGGGTAATATTGTGGATGACATTAGAAGGTTGCTAGTAGAATTGTGTGTTAGTGATGTTATTTTTCAGCCGCGTTTGGGTAATCAGGTAGCTCACTCTTTGGCGCAGTTTGGGTTGCGAGAACAGCATCATTCTTTCTGGGATGGTCTTCCTCCTGACTGGCTTGTATCACTGTTAGTAACAGACATGGAGGGTGGGTAGTTGTTTTGGTTTTCGGTTTCGGATGCTGTGGTACTCTTTTTCCTTGACCGGATTTCCTCCATTGGAGGTTTTTATGGCAAGGTTTTAATGAGGCCACCTCTTGTTGCATCCATGTTTTGATTGCAAATTGTATGGTTGATGGTTGGAATGAAAGTTTCTTACTCTTTGATAAAAAATAAAAATAAAAATAAAAAAGTCTCAAATCAAACAAAGGTATGTACATCAAATAACTGCTTTAATTGGTTTTCTTCTAATTGAATACATATTATATTTCTGTTTTAAAAAAAAAACCAAATTAAATGTCCAAGTAAACCAAAATACACATTTTTAACTATTTTCATGTCCCCACATTTATTTAGTTGGCCCAAATTGTATTTTATGTCCCCACATTTGGAAAGGGATTTGCCATTGATTTTGATTTAATGCTGCTTCCCAGATTTATATTCTTCATTTCTAGCTTATAATTACATTCTGACTGTCAATTTCAGTTTCATTTTCAAGAAAAACACTCAATCTGATTTCCATTATGATTTTTCTCTATTAAGTGTCGTTCTATTTACTTTATTTCTCATTGAGGTTGTTAAGCCTATTTAAGTTGAAAATGCCGAATAATTAGTGGTCTCGTCGAGAGCTTTTCATTTGCAAGGCTTCTTTGTGTGTCGTTTTCAGAGGAGGGTTTACCATTGTATATAGCCTTTTGTTTTTCTACAAAAACAATTGACACATTCCTACATACAGGCACGGAGTGTACAGCATTTTTGGTCTAGCTTATCCAGTAGATAACTTGTCCCCTGTTTTGTGAAATGTAATGTTTTTTATTTCCTAATTACTTTATCCAAATTGGTCGATGATGGTTGATGGAGAGACCAATCCACAGCAGCTTACGTAGCACACAATATGCACGCGTGTTGACCCAATTGTCTTAATTAGGAATGTCAATGGCCAAATCACATTTATTAATTTGGCATGGTGATTTTTTTTTTTTGTCCGAAATTAATTTGGTGATTAAGCTAAGGATGATATTCCTCCTCATAACGGCGGTAATAACAGCATGACAACGATGATGATGACGATGACAACGCTGTTTTCGGGTTTAAGGATAATGAAGTCGAGGGAACCAGGGCAAAGTGAAAGGATTTAACGAAATTTGCAACCAGTACAAATGAGCAGGAAGAAGAGTGCCTGCGTGTGAACCAAACTAATGGCAATCTCTGGCTGCATGCATGCATACAATTGAATGTGTACTTACTAAAATATCTACACTAAAATAAGAGCTGTAAAAAATAAAACGACAACGTCATAGTTCATAATTCATGTACCAACTCCTTAAAATTATGTTCTCATATTAGACATAAAATAAAACACTAGTTCATAGGGAAAATTTTAAAAACATGTAAAACTTAGAATTAGGATGAGTTCTTGATGACCCTCTTCATTTTTCTATTAATGCCACATTAAGGTACTGACAAAACAAAAGTGGACCAACGTAATTGTGATTATTCACCATTGAAGCAATTGTTTTTGTACAATTTGTTATTAAACTTGCAATATCAAAAATCGATGAGACTAAAATAATAAATATGTCCACTGAGCAAAAATGGTGGTTTAGTTTATACAAAGAGGGACTTCGATACCAAGAATATTGACCTCAAAAAGCTCAATTCCATATCAAAATCCTCAAATTCTGCCAAGCCCACTTCAATTTTTAGTCTCACATCTAACTAGGACAAGAACAAAATAATTAAACCCACCACCACAAAACTGTTAGCAAGATCCTAGCTTAATTATGATATTTATTTCCTAGTTTATTACGATTATATTTCTTTCATTTTGTATAGATATTGTGTAATTAGGATTTTATTTTGTTTTCTAATTTGACCCTACTAGGGTTACATCCTTGTACTATAAATATATTCTTTTGGAGAATGAAATACAACCTGAAAAATATTCTACCCATATTGTTTGACTTGGCATCAAAGCCAACTTTTCTGATGACCTGTGTGTTGTGCTCACCCGTGTTCTATCCTTATATTTTTTTCTCTACCTATGCCGTGTGTGCCTTCCTGGGTTTGTGTGTTGTGTTGTAGTGTTTGTGCCTCTACTGTGTTCGTGCAATTCTTGTCTTCGTGCATCTGCCGTATTTGTGCCTCTATTGTGTTCCGTTGTATACTCTGCCATGATCTGTTAAGTTTCTGCTGCAATCATGGGTGATAACTCCATTGTTGGTGCTATTGGTGCTGCCTCAGCAAATTTGTGTGTTTTTTATTCTATTCCAGGTACTGTCTCCAATACTTGGATAATTGACACTGGTGCTTCTAATCATATGACTTATGATGCTAAATATTTTGATGATTTGTCTAGTAACACCCGTGACCCATACATAACTAGTGCTAATGGCTTGCCTTCTCCAATTACTGGTGATGGCACAATCTCTCTCACTCCTACTACGTCCTTGTCTCGTGCGTTACTAGTTCCCAATATCCATTGTAACTTGTTATTTGTTGGTCGATTACTTGATACACTTAATGCTTCTGTTGCTTTCTATCCTACGCATTGCTCTTTTCAAGATCTCAAGACTCACGAGTCGATTGGGCATGGTAAACGGATAGGGGAGTTATATTATTTGACATTGCCTTCTGCACCAGTTCTTGATCGTGTCATTAATACTGTTCAAAGTTGCAGTGTCAAAGACAAACAACAAATTTGGTTATGGCATCGTCGCTTGAGACACCCGTCATTTGGCTACCTTAAACATATGTTTTCATCTTTATTCTGCTCTTGTGATGAGTTTAGTTTTAAGTGTGAGACATGTATTTTAGCCAAGAGTCATTGCACTATGTTTCCTTTGAGTGGCAGTAAAGCTGCAAAGCCTTTTAATTTAGTGCATTCTGATGTGTGGGGTCAGGTTCGCGTCACTTCGAATGGATTTCATTGGTTCATCACATTTATTGATGATTGTACTCGACTCACTTGGGTTTTCTTGCTGAAAAATAAATATGATGTTGCTTCCATCGTTCCAGAGTTCTGTAATATGGTGTCTACTCAGTTTCATGCTCGGGTCAAAATATTCCGAACTAATAACAGAGGCGAATATGTGAATAACACTTTGACATCTTTCTTCCGTGCTCAAGGTATTATTCACCAATCGACAACCCCATTTACTCATCAGCAGAATGGTGTGTCTGAACGCAAGAATCGTTAGTTACTTGAAGTTGCCCGCTCCCATATGTTGGACATGTATATTCCCCATCATATTTGGGGGCATGCTATTTTATCTGCTCACTATTCGATTAATCGTACTCCTAGCCGGGTTTTTGATTTCAAGACTCCACATGATGTGTTTGGTGACCATGTTTCCCCTGTCTCAATCTCCAAGTTGCCCCCTAAATTTTTTGGGTGTATTGCCTATGTTCATGTCTACTCTTATCAACGAAGTAAACTTGATCCTTGTGCTCTGTGATATGTCTTCATTGGTTACTCTTCTACTCAGAAGGGTTATAAGTGCTATCATCCACCTACCCAGAAGGTGCATGTTACTTTGGACTTGACTTTCCATGAAGAAATGCCCTATTATGTCTCTTCCTCCTCTCTAATTTAGGTGGAGCGGGAGAGTGAATTGGAGAGTCTTGGATTGGAGAATCTTAGACTTGAATTGGAGAATGATGTGTTTGAAGATACTGCTCTCGGGAAGGAAATGACTTGTCTCACTAAAGCAAGTGACCAGTCGCCCATATATGAAGATGAAACTTGTGGTCTCTGTGAAGAAATGACTTATCGCCCTTTGGAACTCTACCGGTCGCCCATATCTGGAGATGAAGCAGGTGCTCTCGGTGTTGAAATGACCGGTTACACTGAAGCAAGTGACCAGTCGCCTATATCTGAAAATGATGACAGTAATTCTTGTATGGATGAGTTGGATGCAATACCCCCATCTACGCTGCCAGTGCCCCAATCTACTCGTGATAGTGAATCAAGTGAGGTAATTTCTAATGATCTATCTGTATTAACTTATCAATTACCCCCACGAACCACTAGTGGGAAACCTAAAGTACAATATTCTCCTGATATACATGCCAAGTCTAAATATCCCGTTAGCCATTGTGTATCAACTCATCGTTTGTCTAAGTCATATGCATCATATTTATGTCAATTATCTAGTGTATGTGCCAAGTAAGCTACATGATGCTTTATCTAACCCCAAATGGATGGATGCCATGAATGTTGAAATGGATGCCTTGAACAAGAATAAAACATGGGATTTAGTTCCTTTGTCAAGAGAGAAGAAAGCTGTTGGATGCAGATGAGTGTTTACTTTGAAGCATAAAGCTTATGGTTCCATTGACCGTTATAAGACTAGATTGGTAGCAAAGGGTTATACTTAGATCTATGGAGTGGATTATTTGGAGACCTTTGCTCCAGTGGCAAAACTCAATACTGTGCGTGTACTATTGTCCCTGGCTGCTAACCACGACTGGCCCTTATTACAATTTGATGTCAAAAATGCGTTTCTACTTGGTGAACTCAAGGAGGAGATTTACATGGATCTCCCTCCTGGTATTCATGTAATCTCTAAGGAAGGTGTTGTGTGTAAGCTGGGGAAGCCTTTATATGGATTGAAGTGGTCTCCAAGAGCATGGTTTGGGAGATTTGCATCATCTATGAAGAAATTTGGGTATGTGCAGAGTAACTCAGACCATACTTTGTTTCTAAAGTGTCATAAAGGTAAATTGACAGCTTTAATTATTTATGTTGATGATATGATTGTGACTGAAGATGATTAGGCAGAAATGCAAAATCTTCATAAGTAAGTTTCTGGCTTCCGAGTTTGAGATGAAGTCATTAGGTGATTTGAAGTACATTCTTGGGATTGAAGTTGCTAGATCTAAACATGGTATCTTTCTGTCTCAAAGAAAGTATATTTTGAATTTACTTGCAAAGACTGGAATGTTGGATTGTAAACTGATTGATACCCTAATGAACAAAATCATAAGTTAGGGTTGTATCCTGATCAAGTCCCTACATATAAAGAGCGTTATCAACGACTTATGGGGAAATTGATTTATTTATCTCATACACGTCCTGATATTGCATATGCAGTGAGTGTAGTGAGTCAGTTTATGCATTCTCCTAGTGAATATCATATGGGTGTTGTGATGCGCATTTTAAGGTATCTGAAAGCAACTCTTGGAAGGGGTCAATGTTT